AAAAATTGCTAGAAACCATCTTGAGGGTGTGGGTGCTAGTATGGGTATCGCTTTGTATAAGAAGTAAACCCACACCCTTTTTCAAAGATTCCAAATATGAAATAAGTAAATAATAGAAGAAACTATTTTCATTCAGTTGACCAAATAATTTTTAACTGGAATAAATAAAAAAACAGAATCTTATCAAGAAAATTATTCAACACTCACATTAAAACTGTTATCTATAAATAAGAACAAAATAGTCATGCCGATTGTATAACATCGTAACATTTTAAGTTCAACCGACAGAAACAATAAAAATTCTGACATTTAGTTATAGATTTTTCTTATTCAAACAAGTAATTATACCATCATGAAAAATTAATGACGCGTAACAAATATAGTCTCATCTAATAGAAAGAAAAAAAAGTAACATACATTATATCATTAACATACACGGCCATACAAAACACGTATTAATATCTATTATCAATGTCGAATAAAATCAACATTTCTTTTCATACATTGCCACTAGAAATTGTTTACCGAATTTTGGATTATCAGAATTCTTTTACTATTCTATGCTCAATGTACATTGTGTGTCAGCGATTCAATTGAATCCTGGATAGCTATCATTGATATTAGTTAAACATATTTTTACTCATATTAGTTTGTTTTTCATTCCTATTAACTATAGATCAAATATAAAATAAATGAATAAAATAGTTTCATGGCAAACTAAAGCATCAATCATTCATCTCTCTTGAAAAAGTCAATTGCAATATTAGGGAAATTTTTGAATGTTCTACCGAAATCGTTCGTGAAAGATGAGGGAAAATATGTTGTTTCTCATAGAAACCACCATAAGAAAATCCGATCAACTCCATATGAATCAAAGTGCTATCACAGTCTCTAATAACAAGATATCACAATTTGTTATTGTCTAAAACAGAAGAACACTATGCGATCTAATTCAACAGTCAGATTTAGCTGTTTTCTCTCCAAGAACTTCATTACTCTTATCCTCTCTTTATATGTCTTATATATATATTTCATACAAACGATCACCATATTACATCTCCAATCAAATTCCATCTGCAATACAGGAGTACAGCATCTTGCTGATGCATTAAAACATAACTAGGTAACTATTCTCCTCTCGTCATCTGTCTCTTGTATACTCATTGGCATGTGTTCATTCAGAAACTTATCATACGACATCTGGAATACAATCTAACTAGGAATATCGGAACACAACATCTATCTAATGCATTAAGATATAATACGGTAGCTTGTAGTTGTTCTTCATCTATCTCATATATTCATTTGTGTATTCCACACAGACACTTACCACACTACATCTCGTAGGGAATCAAATTGGAGATACTGGAACACAACATCTAGCTCATGGATTATGCAATAACGTAGTAATTATCATTCTCTCTTCATTTATCTCATATATCTATTTGAACTTTTTTCATGCAGACACTCACCTTACTAGATCTTCAATACAATCGAATCGGAAACGAACTTAACAATCAAATCAATCAATGTATTCAACGGAATAAAATGCTAGCAAAACTGGGCGTAATGCCGTTGTCGATATGCTGCTGACGGAAAAAAAACTAGTTAATGCATGTATAGATCGATTTGTATTGTAATGATGATTCTAGAATACTTTTCTAATTATCAATTTTTTCTAATGAGATACCTCATGATTGACTATTACTAATACCAACATGAATTATGCGAAATTACACTCGCAGTGTATAAAGATTTTATATATAATAGACACTCATATGTGAAAGAGAAAAAAAGGTAAGTACATAAAGTAAAAGGGAACAGGTAATAACGAAAGAGTGACTACAATCGATCGGATGTGAACAAGATTTAAGGTGGAAGACCATTCTTATTCATTATCGTCATTTTGTACATTTGGTACATTTTGCTGAGACAGGATGTGGGTGTGACTATAGATTTTATTAAATATTAGAAGAAAAAAAAAGCGAAAATTTATTTTGTCTTTATGGTATATAAATGGAAATTAAAGTTCATCATGTTCTTTTGGATTATTAGAAATAAGTTGTGCAATATTAATAATTTGTTTTTTTGATGAATTTTCTCGTGCTTCAATAACTAATTGTTGAACTTCTGTAGATTTATTCGAATAACTATTATTACTGAGCATATGTTCAATATCATCTTGAAGATTATTTGAAACTTGACGAGCTATACCCAATTCAATAACTTGTAAAGCATTATCAAATTGATCAGCAAAAAACGGCCATACAAGTATTGGTTTACCATGTAACATACTTTCTAATAGAGAATTCCATCCACCATGTGAAAAGAAAAATGCTATTGATGGATGTGATAATATTGCACGTTGTGGAGTCCATTCGAGAATAATTTGACGATTAGAATCAAGATTATTTAATGATGATGGAAGCGATGTTTTTGTTTTTAATGACCAAATAAATGAATGATGTAATAAAGCACGAGCAACAATATCAACAGCAGTTGGTGGTAAACGAACCACTGAACCGAAAGAAATATAGATAACTGAACTAATAGGTTGTTTATCAAGCCAATCGGTAATATCTTTAGACTAAAATATAAATTGTATATGAAAATTTTAATTTTATTTTATACTTTATTTTCTATTGATTGTTGAGTATTGAAAATAAGAGGACCAATAAAACGAATAGGTGCGAAATTCCTAGATGATTGATAAAATTGTTCAATATATTTTTCATCAAATTCTTTTAATGAATTACAAATAAAACCATTTGCATGCTGAATATTATCTTGATAATAATGAACTACTTGTTTGAATTCATTATTATTATTTCCTTTATGATTACATATATAATTAACAACACTTCGAAGATTATTCGGTAAAAATAAATGAATAGGTATTGATAAATTTAATAAAGGTATTGGGGCAAATGATAGAATGATAATCATATCAATAGGTAGTGAGATATTTCGAGTAATTGGCGATTGAAAATTTGAATGAAACAGATGATTTAATGCTGTACCCATTCGATTGATTACACCATTGAATAATCGGATATGATCATTATCAGGAATTATCTATAAATAATATTTTACAGAAGCTATCAGATATTAATACAAGAAAAAACATACCATTGAAATATTATTTAAATTGATTTGAGAATCGGGAATTTCAAATTGAGGAAAATAATCATTTCCATCAATTAAGCCAACGATATCAAGTGTTTTACTATTGTTTAAATCGGATATAAATCCTTTATGATCAAGTTCATTGATTTTATTTGCTGAAATTAGGTATGTAACATGACAATAAGATGATAATTGTTTGGCAAGTTCTAATGAAGCTATTAAATTTTAAAAAAAACAATATTATATAGTTTATAGTTTTTTTTGAATTAAAATTATTTACGAATCATATGACCAAAAAAAGGTGGAGCAATAATAAGAATATGATTAGGATTTTCTCTTGATAATGAACAGAAAATTAATACGAGAAATAACGATAAGATGAACATCATTTTGTATTATAAAATATATTCGTTCGTTCAATCGTATTTATATATTCTCAATGAACAGAAAGAAAGAAATGAACGTATTCGTACTTTAACGCACTTTGAACTCATCGTTAGAGCGTAACAAACGAGTGATAGTCATTTATTATTAAGGATGAAGGATCAGTATGTCACGCGATATCTACATCATCGGTAAAAGATATTTATCTTAAAATAATTAGAAAAAAACAAAAATTATGGACAGTAACATTTTTATAAATCTACTAGATAACCGAATTCGTATTTTGTCTATATTCCAATTGGTGAATCTGGTGACATCTATTTCATATTTTTACGTGTTCATATAGTTCTATTAATTTATAAACGTTTATTAAATAAACAAGATGTTTTACGAAATCATGATAAAAAAATCTTAGATGAACCATTAAAATGTAATCATCGTGTTATTTTAAATTAACTAGATGAATTAACAAATGAGCAAGCAGGGTGTGGGAATATCTATCTTATTTTCATCCATACCCACCCTGTATGATGCTGCGTTGTTAGTAGATAAAGTCTTTATTTGTTGATTTGCCTTAGTTATTTCATTTTTAATTGAAAGTGTTTTTGATACATTGTCAGCGTCTAAACAATTTTTTGTAGAAGAAATCGAAAGTTTTGTATTATCAGTCAGCATCTGCGCACTTCCTGTAGCTAAGATTTACTCTAAGTTTTAGAGATAACGAACTTTTTATACGTTTTTATGTAATCCGGCAAGAATTTGGTCAATTTTTTGATTTGGATAGTTTTTATAATAAAATTTCAAAAAAGACTATACTCTACCGTCAAGGATTTGTCAACAATTAAGATCGTGTAATGGTGAAAATACTTCTAGATATTAAGAAATCTTAAATACAATTTTTAGTATGGAAATCGTAGATTCTGGCACTCCTTATCGTTGTATACTATAGTGTTGTATTTGTGCTTTGAAACAGCTTTCAGCTCTGGTAAAGTAACTATTTCAAACGACATCAAAATCATTAATCGTAAGAACCTCATATCGTGATTGAAAATAGCAGCTAAAACATAGTTAGATGTTGTTCAGTCACAATTGCTGTGAGATCTTTATTCTCTATTAATATTAGCACATAAGACACGATAGACTAAAATAGCAGCTATCATTATTAAAAATCACATGACGTTGTAAATTTACGTTAAACTGAATTGATAGACTGATTTTCGAGAGTACTTACCGCTTAATTGATACCTAAAACAATCGGTTTTTACTGATTTGGTTGAGAGTTTAGGTCGGTTGATAAGTGGCCAATCGAATCTGAAAAAGCTTGGTTAGTTCCAAGTATGATATACATTAATATTCACAATCTGTGTTTAGTTATATTGAGAAGTTTAAATGTCTTAAAGTATTTAAAACTGTTTTAAATTAGTAAAGTGGTTAAAAGTATTATAAGTGCTTGAAGTAGTTCAAAGTCATTTATAGTAGTTCGAAGTAATTCAATGTAGCATAAAGTAGTTCAAAATTCGTGCAAAGTAGCCCAGAACTGGTTGAAAGTACTTTAAAATAGTGAAAACAACTTTTAGTACAAAACTCTGCGGTTTTCCCTCTCTAGGCGCTGCTGTAGTTGAAGGTTGCGTAGAACTAGTGCTCTGATTAATGCATTGTTGAGTAGATGGATCACGAGTACAGTTTACGGCATATCCATCGACACACTGTTGCATTGCAGAATTGTAGCATACACCATTGCATAATTTTATTTGATTGGGTTGATTGTAAGGATAATTTGTAATGTTACAAATTGTCACATTGTTAACGCAAACTTGATTGTAACCCATACATCGCTCGTTGCATATTTGAGATGGATAGCTACAAAGTCTGTTATCCAAACAAACTTGTTCTGTAGGATTATAGCATAAAGGATATGGCGGATTATACTGACGTCCATATGTATCATCAAACTTAGTAATACACAATTGCTGACTAACAGAGCATAGAATTCTGTCGAAGCATTGTTGCTGTGATGAGCTGTAGCATACACCAGAACAGCTATTACGACACCGAACAGTCCCGCTAATGCATTTTTCAAATGCAGAATTATAACATACACCATTGCATAATTTTACTTGATCGGGTTGATCGTAAGGATAAAATTTTGTAACATTGCAAGCTGTTACATTATTAAAACATACTTGGTTGTATCCCATACATCGTCCGTTGCATATTTGCGATGGATAGCTACAAATTCTGTTATCCAAACAAACTTGTTCTGTTGGATTATAGCATGTAGGCTGCAGTGAATAATATTGACGTCCATACGTAGCATCATACTTAGTAATACATAAATGCTGACCAACAGAGCATAGAGTTCCGTTGAGGCATTGTTGTATTGATGAGTTGTAACATACGCCTGAACAGCTATTACGACACCGAACAGTACCACCGATGCATTTTTGAAATGCGAAATTATAACATACACTATTGCATAATTTCATTCTAGTGGGTTGATTGTCAGAATAATAAGACTTTGTAATGTTACAAATTGTAGTATTGTCAACACAAACTTGATAATTCGCAACATACTGTCCGTTGCATACTTGTAATGGATACGTATAAAGGGTTTTATTCAAACAAGCTTGTTCTGTTGGATTATAGCATGTAGGCTGTGGTAAGTAATACTGACGTCCATACATAGCATCATACTTAAGCATACATAATTGCTGACCGACTGAGCATAAAGTCCCATTGAAACATTGCTGTACTAATGGGTTGTAGCATTCGTTTTCGCAGGTAGCAGTGCATTGCCTCGTAGGTAATTGACTCTCAACATTCCATACAGCCAAAAAGATGAGAAAAATCCATAAAATCTTATGATTTTTCAGGCCACTTGTTATAAACATTGTCTTGCAAATGTATTAAGTAGGTAGAACTAACTGCTTCTGTAGTTGCTGTTGATGTTATTTGCTCGTATTTCTATTGCAAAGTTTAAATTTTTAATGCTGTTTGGTTACAGTTTATATAATTACATATGTTCTGAAAAAGAAACTTCAATTGTAAGTGAGTCTATATTCTTGCACAGATGATATTTAAGGTCTACTAATATAATAAACGCGAAATACTTAATATCTATCAATCTATTAAAAACAAATAGTGTATCAGTGAATAGCCCTGCCATGAGTATATTCCTAATGCAGAAATCAATGGAATGAGAAAGATCGGCACTATTAACTAGTTCAGTCATTAAATAATCAGTAATCGAGATTTGGAAATTTGAATTCATCGAACAGACTAAAGATGCAATAATATCAATGCTGGTAGGATGTGGATATTGTATTCATCTCACATCCACACTCACTCGTCATATTATTATCTTAAAAAATAACTCGAATAACTGGTATGAAAAGCAAATAAACTGAACATTATTTCGGAGCATCTACTCTTTTTTACGCTACATAACGAAAATTTATATCGTTTTGATTCACCATACATTGATCAACAATATAATTATATCAATAATAAAAGAATCAAAAATAAAGCTGTAATAAAGTCTTCGATAAAATAGTCAAGAATATGAAATATCTTTGTTGTTCTGACTCGTTCACAAGCAAATGGTTTCTTTGTCTAGTCGTAAGAGTGATAATAAAAAATATTCACAATCATATTTTTTAGCAGTAGAATAAGCTCTAG